ACAGAAGGTTCGAAGTTTGAACAACGGATCAACATCATGGCACACGGGTAGTAACCCATAAGTGTCTAACTCAATTCTGAGTCCGAAGAAGCTCAGCACCGTGCTCTGTAGCACCGGCGAGGATCCTGAAATACTTTAGGTAGATTTTTAACTCAAAATTTTGCCCGGGCAGAGCCGTTAGGCTACTCTTTTCTATTTCCAACTGTCAAGGAATTATTTACGTGCGCAACAGTGCACACGGGCGTCCGATCTCACTACCCGGAGAATTAACAGAATTCCAAGTCCAAGTGAAAAAATCCCAGCCCTCACCGGGGATTCAACCTGGAATCGGGTGCACGTCATGCCTGATAAAAGTGGATCCCTGACAATGTTTTAAGTCAGGGCTATTCTACTAAGTTTACTTAGGTGCCAACATTTTGAAAACGGGGATAGTCAAGGGCCAGTAGGAAAGATCATTATTAAAAGAAACAAAATGTAATAATCCGCGGGCCACTTGCTACGCTTTCACAGACCAGATTTGGCTCGCAGGCCGCAAGTTGAATAGCTCAATTTTAGGAATTGCCTGGAATAAAGAAGTGGGAACTGGGCAGCAACCTCGTGGCCTAAAAGAATATGTGAAGGCCTAATGCCACATCCAACAGAATTATTTGTCACGGGACCTGTCAGGTCCCCAACATTCGTACTAATCTCATTTCTATCCCTCTACCTTAAGACCAGTGGCTCTCAACCTTCCTGATGCCGCCACCCCTTCATACAGTTCCCTCATGTTGTGGCGACCACCAAACAATTACTTTTCTTCATCATAACTTTGAAGAATATGTGTTTTCCGATGGTCTTTGGTGACCCCTGTGAAAGGGTCGCGGCCCTCAAGTTGAGAACCCCACCCCCTGCTTTAGACGGATCTGCCATGGGGTGTCAGGCGCCCGGCATTCGTATTATCCAAATTTCTCTCCCTCTACCTCTAGTCCGATCTTTAAAGGGAGAGTTTATGCCTCACAAAATGTGCATCGCTAAAACCTAACCAACACAAAGAATCCGTTTTGTCACAAAGTAGATACAATGCGACGATGACCACTAACTGAGGTTAGTTACAAGCCACATACATCTTGCCCCCCGCTCTATCTATCAGTTACAAGCCACATACATCTTGCCCCCGCTCTATCTATCAGTTACAAGCCACATACATCTTGCCCCCGCTCTATCTATCAGTTACAAGCCACATACATCTTGCCCCCGCTCTATCTATCAGTTACAAGCCACATACATCTTGCCACCGCTCTATCTATCAGTTACAAGCCACATACATCTTGCCCCCGCTCCATCTATCAGTTACAAGCCACATACATCTTGCCCCCGCTCTATCTATCAGTTACAAGCCACATACATCTTGCCCCCGCTCTATCTATTAGTTACAAGCCACATACATCTTGCCCCCGCTCTATCTATCAGTTACAAGCCACATACATCTTGCCTCCGCTCTATCTATCAGTTACAAGCCACATACATCTTGCCCCCGCTCCATCTATCAGTTACAAGCCACATACATCTTGCCCCCGCTCTGTCTATCAGTTACAAGCCACATACATCTTGCCCCCGCTCCATCCATTCATCCTATCTACCTACCTAACTCTCATACACACAATTATCATCGGAAACAACAGGTAACAATATCAGTGAGCATGTACTCTAGGACTGCACCGAATTTGACACATTTAACCTTATGGCCAGAAAGAACAACAGTGGAACGTACACTCTGAATGAACTAACAACGACAGTAAAATATATACGAGACAAAATTGCTGCTATAGACAACTTATTTTAGGCGAACGAAAGAAGAAGTGACAATACCGAAAACCAGAGCCAGCAGAAAGGAACCATCTCACACACTAGATCACGGTCAGAAACGTGTTCCCGTTGTAAGGTTTGTATATTTAAAACTGCCGTGAGATTCCCTACCTACATGAAACAGTAGGTCGCTAATTTTAATAGTATGGTCTCTCTCAACGTAAACTTGTATGCGAATGTGTACATCGTAAATGTATTCGCGAACACCTAACAATCGAACAGCAACATGCTTTTGACGCGCGCGCGCGAAGACACACAAGGCACTTGTATTTTGTCAACTTTTTTATGCAAATGCAATGAAAGTTTAAAAGTACGAACAGGAGGGTCTCTGGGACTGGTTCTATCAGACGCATCCAAACAGTGGCTCTCCGACCCACCAGTTTAGTTTTAAAACCTCCATGTTGCAGTTCCGGTGGTGAAATGTACAGATACAAAATCCCTATGAATTAGGCCACAACTGTGGGGGGGGGTTAACAAACGCTTAGTTCGCTGTTGTTAATAATATATCTAGTTCCGACAACCTGACAATATATGGTTCCGATAACTTGACAATATATTGTTCCGACAACTTGGCAGTGGGAGTAGAGTAAACACTGAAATGTTATTTATAATATCGTTACAATAACAATTACTCGGCTACAGCACAAAAGTTTTACCAATAAGACATGAAATATGAATGACCAAGGGAAATTACCATGATGAATAGGACAGGAAACAGTCGGAAGCAAATTAGTCACAACAATAACGCCAGCTAAGAACAAACACAATACAATAGTTGCATCAATAATGAATGCTAACAACAAACACATAATTTTGCTGTCAATAATACACAGCACAATATTTTATTTCGACAACTAGTTAGCTGAAAAATTAAGCAATTATTCTATCTTAGAAGACTCACAAAAGAGGATATGAAAATTGAATGATCAAGGGAAATGACTAAGGCTATGAAATAATAGGAAACAACTATAGTAGTAAACAACAGGTAGGTTTTAAGGGGAAATATTCATACAGCCTTTTTGCCACAGTTAAATTTAAAAAGTTATAAATTTTACATTAAAGCAAAGCTTTTAAGGTTTTGTATGCGAAAGAAAAGTCATAATTGAAACACTGCGGCTGCCCCGGTAAAACAGGAAGTTGCCTTTGATTGCTGGATTTGTACTTTGAATATCTCAGTCACCAAGTGGGACAAACTTTTTGTTATTTCGAGGCTCCACCCTGGTTGATTACGGGAGTCGAAATATAACCTAACGGTTCAAGGGGGTTTCTGGGACCACTCCACGGGTGATCCTCATCCGAAATGTGGCCTTTTGTGTTACTACTGACTGTTTATAGCCAGGGTTGCCATTTTGACATTTTGGATACCAGATTCCACAAATTTGTCATATTTGAAATTAAACTGGCATAAGATAATGAACTAACATATTTATGTTTTTCCTGGCTTTTCTAAACAAGATGTGCTCACATTTCCTTCATGGTTCCCTCACTTTGTTGTGATGTCCTGGTACGGACTAACGGAGATTCGCACCATTTCTTATTGTATTTGTTGTCTTCCTAATCGGATCGAGACTTCGATAAACCAAGGCCCTCAGTAATTTATGTTAATCTACTAGAATAAATGTGGGATATAAAACCAAAACACACCACCGATACCAAGTGATTTAGACTGTTCACAAACTACGTGAGGACAGAAAATAGAGAGGATATAGACCTAGTTCTGTATGTGATAGATTTTATTCCACGTCATCCCACACAAAAAAATGGAAAGAATCTTATGACATTTCAAGTATAACAGTTACTGGAAGAAAACATACCCACGGCTCAAAAGATCTTCAGACGGATCAGAGGCAGGATATTGTAAACTGTGTCAGTGCACTGTTGCACCAAGAATTAGTAGCATATCAAATCATGAAAAATGGAGGGGGGAAAACCTGGGAGAAAAACTCTGTCAAAAAGCTAGTCACTGCTTATTACAATAGTGACTCCTAGGCAAAGTAATGATAAAGTTAAAGGCGGCAGAGTTACAACTTGCATTAGGGAAACATCAGTTTCCCTAATGGTTCTTTTCAAATTAGGGAACCTTTTACTTGCGAATCCCGCAACGTAATTTATGCAATTATCTGCAAACGATGCAGCATGGCATACATTGGGGAGACTGGCAGGAAGCTAGCTGATCGTTTCCGGGAACACCTCTCTGATATCGACAAGAAGACACTCAAACCAATCCCTCTTCATTTTAATAGCCCTGACCACAGCGGTAAAGATGACATATCTGTCACAGCATTAAAATCTTGCTCTGGCGATCATACTACCCGCCTCACTTTGGAAAATCGCCTTATCCACAGCCTTGGCGTTCTTAGTCCAAGAGGTATCAATATCCAACATACCTTCATCTAAATAGTTCTAATCTTATTACATTTTAAATGTTAATTATTTTATTTTATTTCATATTATTACCATATTCTATTTCTTATCAATATCATTTATGTATCATTAACACTTGCATTTCTTTTATTCCCAGTATTGTGACTATATTTTTTAGCCATCGTTTATTTTATTTTATTGCATTTATTCCGCATCACATTTTTTAAACGTCGCTCACGTCACCCCTTAGAGATCTACATACTCTCCATTCCTCGTTTGTATAGTCCACTTCTGTTTGAAAAAGGCCGCCCGGTCGAAACGTTACGTTGTGTTGTTTTGTGCACGTTTTCCTTTTTCCTATTTTGTTGAGCTTTTTAGTCATATTTCTCTGGAATTCATTACAACTTGCTGTAGGCATGACCTGCCATTGTGCAATACGCACAACTGATCATCTAAGTGAAATCATGAGAGCGCATGGTCGGGAGAGCACATTGGAGCACATACAGTTGCAAAGAACTAAATGTTGATGCCTTATAAATGATATTATATCGCCTGCATTTAAGGATGACCTTACTGATGATTTTCGGAACAAGAAATTTGCCATAATTATAGATGAGTTGCAAAGAC